CAGGGGCACCCTTGATAGACTCACCTATATGAATGTGGAAGTTAAAGCTGCTACATAGAGGATTGGACTCATGTTTAGAGTGCTAATGAAAATTGAGATATCAGCTCAAAGCCTATAACAAGTTGGCAGTGTATAAAGAGTCATCAGGGAGTGCATATCATTTGTATGTTGTGCTACCAATATGTTGGATAAGGTCCTTGTTCTGAAGCTATATGCTACACTAGAACTTGATGTACTTTACAGTACATGCATTAAGTAGAGGTTTAAATCAAAAGATACATGTCGATAGCATATGTTGCGTAATGTTTTCATGTAATTTTGAAATACAGGTGGAAATTGTTGTGTTGGTGCTTTGGGAAAATGCATTAAAATATTTCAAAATAATATCCCTTGTGTTCCATAGTACAAATCATGCAATAGATTAACTAAAACCACTCTCTCCTACAATTTCCTCTGCTAACTAACCATTAGCATCAATAGAGTCATCAATGCTTATGTCTCGACCCATGGTATCCTCTATATAGTTCTTTATATTGAAATTATAGTCTCTTCTCCATTGTAAAAGGTATTGCTTTAAAAACATGAGTTTTTTTAAAGACTTTATAACCAACCCAACCCATTACTTCAGTTCGACACTAAACATCCTTGATAAGATCAACAACCCCTTTTTCCTCCAACCATGTAGCCTCCAATCTAATAGGCCTATGACCATTAGAACTCAAATCTATTTACAACATGATTGCTGTATGGTCAGAGGAAAACTTCCCCATCGCATTTACCTTGACCAAAGGGAACTGAGAATCCCAATTGTTGGACACCAAAAAGTGACCCAACTTAATGAGAATCAAATTATGTATATAGTTATTAGACCAAGTGAAGATTGAGTCATTCAAAGGTGGTTCAATAATCCCATGAGAGATTATAAAATCATTAAACATTCTCATGTTTGAATTCAAAGTAACATTCAAAGAAGTCTCATCCAACCGTCTGATAAAATTAAAATCTCCGCAATACATAAAGGAAGATAATAATATCTGACAAGTCCTGCAAAAAGGAACTTACAAAGATTGAGAGTTTGGGCCACAAACATTAATCAGAAGCCATCTAAAAGAAAAAAAATGGTCTTTCAAAACTATTGCAATCAAATTGTCTCGCAAAAACACTAAAATCTCCGCAATACATAAAAGAAGATAATAATATCTGACAAGTCCTGCAAAAAGGAACTTACAAAGATTGAGAGTTTGGGCCACAAATATTAATCAGAAGCCATCTAAAAGAAAAAAAATTGTCTTTCAAAACTATTGCAATCAAATTGTCTCACAAAAATACATCCAAATATACAAAAACTAAAGCATCCAAAATTAAGCATAACCCACCCGATGCCACAAGAGCATCCACACCCAAATAACCATTAGGTCCACAACCCAAAAACCAGTAACATACCTGAAAGACAGAGTAGGAAGATTAGTTTCTTGAAGCATTAGAATTTTTGGCTTGTATCTACGAACCAGCACTGCCAACTTCTGTTTATGGCACGTACTTCCCAATCCCCAGACACTCCAGCTAAGGATCTTCATTAAAGTTAGAAATCTCTTCAATTCTAGCAATGGAGGTATCATTTGCAGAATATTAACTTGAACTATCTCCTTAGAACCACAAAACCCCAAATTTTGAGAGCCAGTAAAACCAAAGGATCTATGAGCTCCCAAACCTGTCTCTTGTTCCACCACAACCCTCCTCTCCCCCCCTCCCCACACTCTAGTACGACTCTAAGAAATCTCTCGCTCTATTTACCTTTCATCACTATCAATCCCATCTTTTACGTTGCCCATGGTACATACCTTCCCAAAAGGCATGTGAACTTCCTTCTCAAGAAACTGCCCATTACTCATACCCTTAAAACACCCTTCACCCCTATCATTCTGATTAATACCCCGGGAGTCCATCTCTAGCTCTTTTCTTTTATCAAAAAAAGAAATTTCTATTTTTCTACCAAAAGAACCTTCAATTGATCATGAGGACTCTGATTTGGAATTAGAAACCGATGGTATTGATTTTACAACCTTCTTTTTAGGAATCCGTATCTTTTTCATTTTCAAATTTGAAAAAGAGTAATTTGACACCTTAATGATCTCACATCCCTACTATTGACACGTGGCCTACTTTCTCCTTGGAAAACTATTTTTACCGCAGAAGACCTTTCTCTCTTATGCAATTCCTAAACATTCCTTTGTGCTTTGGGATCATAAGTAGATCTCTTTGTTAAAAGAACTTTCACCCAATCATCCTGTGGAGATAGTAATTCAAAAGTACCACTACTGTCATCTTTGACCCCAACCTCTTGAGCCATTTGGACTTTTGCTCCTTCAGCATATACATCAATAAGAAAGTCCTCATTATTGACTTCAACGCGAATTTTATTAGGAAAAGGTACAAAACCATTTCTAAGAACCTTCATCCTAACAAAGGATAAATCTATACTATTTAAAGACTCCTAGTCTATACCCACAAAATCCCCACAAAGATTGCACAAATCTTGAAAAACACCCATGTTCCAAGCATGAAGCGGAATACCCCATAATCTAATCCAAACTAGACTCTTTGGAACATAAAAAATGTGAGAGGTATTCTTCCAAATATCTAAGGTCAATAACTCACCATAGCTTGATACGGAGAACATTCTTCACCTCATCCTCAAATGTTATAAGGAAAATTAATCGGCCATCACCCATCCCTTTTACAAGTGGTTCATAGGTTAAGGCCTAAACAAATAGTTTGAGAGAGGTGAAAGAGAACCGACAATCACACAAGAAGTATGAAAAGAAGACTCACCTCTACCAAAAGCCACCGAAGGGATGACAGCACTCTGCTCATATATCTCTCCTTATGCTTCTTCCACCTTTGCATCGCCTCTCCCTCTCAAGAACCCTCTTTCAACAAATTTTGACTTTGAAAAACAAGATAAATAATGCATCAGTTGCAACTTGTGATTCTAAATCTTTTTTAATATGTTTATAGATTTTTTTTTTTAGTTGGATTTATGGTTACTTTTAAGATAAGTTTGGATGAAAATAACAATTGTATAAATGCCTTTAGAGATTCTCTATCCATATATCTTTTTTTGACATATCTCTCTATCCATGCTTTCTCTTTCCATATAGCTCTCTCTCACATCTCTCTCTTATCTACGTCTCTTTCTCTCTCTCCCCTAAAGATGGAGATTCACTCATTTTTTTTAGGAGTCTTTTTCTTTCTCTCTCTCCACTGAAGATGGAGATTCACTCATTTTTTTTAGGAATCTTTCTCTATTTCTCACTAAAGATGGATAGTATGCATATCTCTCTATCCATATAGCTCTCTTTTCATATATGTATCTCTCTCTATCTATATATGCATCTCTCTCTATCCATATATCTTTTTTCGACATATCCTTCTATCCACGCTTTCTCTTTCCATATAGCTCTCTCTCGCATCGCTTTTTAATCCATGTCTCTTTCTTTCTCTCTCCCCTAAAGATGGAGATTCACTCATCTATTTTAGGAGTCTTTCTCTCATATCTCTCTCTTATCTATGCCTCTTTCTTTCTCTCTCCCCTAAACATGGAGGTTCACTCATTTATTTTAGGAGTGTCTCTCTATTTCTCACTAAAGCTGGGTAGTATGCATCTCTCTCTAAAGTGAGATACACATCTCTCTCTACCTAAAAATGTGGAATGTCCTACCATCTCTATAGCACTATAGCATCAAGATCATTTTTTAATTTTCTAATACGTGTCCATTTTTTAACTCTCGCTTAATAATGTAGTATATATAAAAACAAATAATTTATAAAGAGGTATCAGATCTTTTGCAAACTATATTCACATTAATCATTTCAAAGAAAAGGGAAAATTCCAAATGTGCATATTTTTTAAGCACCTTGCTTTATGAAATTATTGCCATATTTTGCTAGATCAATTTTTAAAAGGGTGAGGTTTGTGTAAGGTACCATACTATAGAAGTAAGGCACACATCTAAAATTTTCTCTAGGATGTAGTTCCTATGTCAAGAACCTTATGATGGCTTCAAAATATATTTTTATTACTAGTTATGAATTTTAAAATTTATAAAATAGTACAACAAATATATAAATACTTGAAAACCTTGAAATTAGACGGTCAAGATAACGTGTTGCAAGATGCGCTCTTTTTAGAATTTAATTTTTCTTTTTTTTTCTTGAAATCCACACATTCTGAGATGGGCTTTCCAATGTCGAAATACTCTTCTAGAGGACTTATTAGATGCACCTTCAATAGTATAAAGTATAAAGTTAGGACCTTATATAAACTTTCTCAATTAACAAAAGGAGCCATATGGCAGCAGAAAGTATTCAATATAAAAATGCTCTGACTTTAAGCATGCCCTCGAGCAAACCGGTCTAACTGACCTCAAAACTAAAATTTAATAAATAGAAGTACAGAACATTTAGAAATACTTTGGATTGAAACACTTGGTTATAACCAATGACAATAATTTACAAAAGGCTGACATGGATTTTCTTTTTTCTTTTGATAAGATACACAAAAGAAATGTCAGAAGTCAAACATAATGCAACAGTACAATGCAAATGAAAAAGAAATCCACTGGTTCTTTAAGGGCAAATTATAAAATTAGTATAACAAAGGAAAGAGGCCCACTTGTGTATGTTTGTGTGTATGAGAGAGAGACCTAACTAAGATAATAGCCTTTGGGTACTTCATTTTTTAAAGGAATTAAGGGCAATCTGATTCTCTTAATCTCTCCAAGGCAAATGCTCCTCGAGGAACCTAGTCTCATCATAAAACGCCCCAAGACTTCCAACCTATAGTGACTCAATTTAAATCCAACTCAAACATAATGGAACGGTCGAAAAGATTGTGTAATGGAGGGAGAAATATCTTGAGAATGAATAACTGATTATCATTTTAAACAGAACAAAAGAACAGTTTGATCACACGAACATGTCGTTTGTACCGGTTATGGGACATATTTAGTGGAAAAAGAATGAGAAATTATTTCAGTTCCATTACAAAAGGCAATGGTGGCTAAATAAGAAGAATTGATCGCATGATGAAATGCCTCTCCTCAAAGTCGTTTATCGCTCTTCCTCTGTGAATCCTTGATCAAGAGATCTTAAGATCGAGACCGAGGTCCATCCCATTATAGGCAATTGGAGCATACATCCACAGGTCATCAGAGCTCAAGAGCTGCAAGAAACAAGAAACAAATAAATTACTCCAACCTGCAAATTATATCCCTCTTTCAATTTCTCATTCATTCCAAGATTTCCATTCCTCCATTGTTGATCTCTCGTACCTTAATTTGGAGTTGTAGAAACTTAACATACTGAACTGCTTCTTCAAGCATTGTACTGATATCTACCTGCATTAACCATTAAGGAGGCATTAGCAAGAATAGCATATTACTTCTGTCAGGTGTTTTCAGGTGACATGAAACCATGGATTCCAAATTGAAAATGAATACGTGCAGTATAGTGAACACTATAGCACTTACTTTAGTACCATTTGGGACCAGATTCTGTAAAATCCTCAACCTCTCATTGATCCTCTCTCTCCTTTTCTGCATTTCAAAACCACCATCATAAGTTTCCTTCCAGAGCATGGAGAATTTTGACCAAGAGGTGTAGAGTTGAGAATCCAAGCAAATTTTCATGGAGGATATACTTACCCTTGCATAAAGGCTTTGAGGATCAGTTGCAGAGCCTCTCCCTGCTCTGGTTTTCCCATTTATGTTGAGAGCTGTGGACCCTTTGCCACTCGAAGTGGTAGTGTTCTGATCTTGTGAAGCATTAGAATCATCCTCTGAACTGTAACTGCATGAGCTTTGCACATTCATGGTGTTATTTTCTTCTTCGTCATCAGTTCTAAGTTTTTGGGTCTTCTTCGAATGAACAGTTTTCCCGCTCTTATACACCTGCAACTCAAATACATGAGATTCCCAAACAATAGTAATATTTCTTTAAGAATCAGTTGCTAAGTGATCAATGCAATGTATTATCAGATGTTAAGCCAAAATAAACACACATGACATTTGTACTTACATCTCCAGAAACTTGAGCTCTCTTCTGAGGCTCGATTTGGGTTGTTTCTTCAGATTGCGAATCTTCCCCAGTTATGAATGCAGCATCGGTAACCGGTGCTCCATCATTAAAGCTTGAATCCTCGAACTTCCTTTTTGGTGTCACTATTTTTATTGGTTTTCTCTCTCTTAATTCTTTTAAATTCTCAGTACCCATCATTTCTCTCTCACAAAGCGCTCCCTCCAAAGGCCGATCAGAAATGGTCTGAAGAGACGGACTGGTATTCTGATCATCCACTGAATAGCAACCTGAAAATTCTTTTGGTATAGAGCTCTGGATCATAGGAAAAACCCCATTTTTCAAAGATGATATGTTTGGAATCCCATCACACTCAGATGGTGTGTTCATAAGACCCCCTTGGTACCAGTAATATGAACTGGGATTCAAAGATTCAGAGGAAAAGTAAGCTCCATTTTCGATAGGAACTTCATTTTCCACCATGTTTGTCGTAGGCCAAGAAGTAGGTACTCTCACATTCAACTCAGTCTCTTCTTGACCAGCTTGTGAACCCATAAATGGGTAGTTTGCAAGCAATAGAGACATGAACTCAGCTTCATCCCCTAAGCCCATAGAAGAAGCCTCACCACAACAAGTGGAGAATTGGGCACCAACATTAGAGCTCCAAAAGGCGTCAACGATGGTTGCAGGCTCCATTTTGCTTATCAATGGATGCCTTAGAAATCAGAATATAGTGAACTATATCTATGTGGTTATGGTTTAAATGGGGAAGTGAGAGACATTTTTATACCTGCAAATTCTAAGAATGTCATAAAGAATTTCTTAAGAATGATCATAATACAATACTCTGAATCACCAAATCATTGGCCATGCCCCCTTTGCTCTCTAAGGAGTGCACCATGGGGCCCTTGCTAAGACAACTCAGAGAGGGCCAACATTCATCCCAATTATAGAGTAAAATATATCGATAATCTTGCTACGACAACTCAGAGAGGGCCTACATTCATCCCACTTATAGAGTAAAATACATCAATAATCTTGCTATGACAACTCAAAGAGGGCCCACATTCATCCCAATTATAGAGTATAATACATCAACAATCAAGAATTTCGAACATTTGACTTCTAAGACCTTAAAAACCATTGGAGTACATATTGAAGCCTTTGAAAAACAATTAATCCTTCATAAAATACAATTAAAAGCTCAACGGCAATCATTAGGACCGACCAACAAAGATCCAAAGAGCCAAATTATGATTGAAGGGGTGATCAGATCACCTGACAAAGAAATGGGATTTATATGATAATCATCAAAAGCTGAAGAGAGATGGATATTTTAAAATAGGATGAGAAGAATTGGGCAGGGTCACGTTCAGGCAATTAACAAACGTGGGGAGTTCTCTTAAGTGGAAAAAAATATAAAAAGGAATTTGCTTACTCAATAAAGAATAGAACATAGAGAAACCAGAAATTGAAACCCCATTAAAGAACGGAGAATAAAAACGTTGGAGGAACTAAAAGACCCCATTAAAAAATAGGAAGAAGGAATACAAAAAATGCAGGTTAAAACTACTGAGAATTTGAGGCCGGCGAGATCGTGGAGAAGGGTTTGAAGTACCACGTACTGTGCACCAGACAAAAGGATCAAGCGACTCTTGATTCTTGTCCCATGTAACCCTAATCCTAAACCGTGGTCTTTGCCGACCCCCTCTGAAAACCCTAATTGGATCAAGCTCCATACAACCAAAACTGTTAAACTAGTTTTCACAGGTCTCTCCACATGGGCCACAGAGAAAACCTAACCTTAATTATAACTCCGATTATACGCATGGTCAAGAATGTAAAATATTAAATTAGGCTCCATTTCCCTAGGAGAAAAACCCTAATCCTAATCCATGGTCCTCCTGCAAATCTTTATTTAAAAGCGCGGATTCCAATTATTTACAAGCAAAACCCCCCAAAACCATTCTCAATTTTCCACATGACGCATGAAAAGAAGTAAACAAACCCTAATCCTTATCCATGATTCTCGTTTAGTCCTATTAAACACATATATTTGTTTGGGTAAAAGGGTGTAAACCATTAAACCAAGCCTTACTTTTACTAGCAAAGGAACCCTTACTGTAACTTTTACCTCGATAAGTGAAAAACCCTAATAAATTTCTTTAACCAGTGTAAAAACCCTAACCCTATAATTGATCCAACGATTAAATCCCATGATTTTAGACCTTGTGTAAAACCAGTCCAAAACCATGAATCTATACATGGATTCAATAGTTAGGGTTTCTGATAACATTTTAACCATGAATCTAGACATGGATTCAGTAGTTAGGGTTTCTGATAACCTTTTAAGATCGAAGAAAATAATAACGAAACAAACCTATTACAACGATTTAGTACTAGATTTACAACAGAGAAAACCCTAGATCACGCGGAGATCGAAGGAAAAAAAATCCTAGATCCAGGGCATTAAGATGGGCCATTTCCTGAATATTCGTTTTTAGGAGAAGTTGCGGCCGGAATTTCGATTTCTCGGGGACTTCCCCGCCCGAAAAGGAAGATTTCGGCATGATTTTTGCGTAGTTTAATTAACTTAAGAACACACTTTCGAAGATGCTTCATACAGGTCTATGATATTCTTAGCCGTCGGTCGCACGTTCATTTATATTTTTATAAGTTTATAAATAATGAATATGCGAATTTCTTTGTAGACCCTCTATAATTGTTAAAAAAAAGAAATGCTCGCGCTTTCTCAATGAAGATCATTGATTCAAAAAATGGATTAATGACTTGGATCGAGCACCCTAAAAATCGGATCGGATCGATGATGGTCCAGCTCGTTATTTTACTGTACGAAAAAAACAATGAACCGGTAAAAAACACTTTAAAATTTAGTGAACCAGCCAAAAATTGGTCCGAATCACTGTTTTACTATACATAATCATTATTTTACTGTGCGGAACGGCTGGTTCAATTTTAGACTCGATCATTTTTCTATATATATACATAACTAGAATAGGTGATCTATTCTCAAGTCGGACAGACAATTTTGTACCGAGCCGGTATTTTTTAAATAATTGGTGAAGATTAAATCGGAAGAAAATGAGTATCGAGTGGGATAAATGATAAATGCCATTGTACAATCTGACAATGCCTCTTTCATCTTCTCTATATGAGTCCTAGTCCTGCAAGGAGCACCATACATACATTTTGGAAGATTTTTGTCCTTTTGGAATTCTGTGATCCACGTTTAAAATTACCGAATTACCAGTATTTTCGATAAAAATAAAACAAAATAAAATAAAATAAAAAAGTAGGCATTCAATTTTTTAAAGAGAAGTTTATATAAGGTTGCAACTTTAAAATATAGAATCACATATGCACCTTAAAAACCTATCGGAAATGTTGTTTTAATATTGAAAAAACCCTCTAATCAAATCATCTCGACATCGAGTTCTATGAATATGAAAAAAAAAAAGATTTTGAATCTAAAAAATAGTGCATATTGCAACACATTATCTAGACTGTTCATTTTCAAGATTTTCATATACTTATAGATCTACTTGATTTTAACTATTTTTTGAATTTAAGATTTTTTAAGTATGAAAATAGATTTTAAGATAATGCTAAGAACTTTTTACAACAAAATTACATGATAAAATTTTAAGGTACACCTTAATTTGATTGTTTAATATTGCAACCTTATAGAAACCGTACCCATTTCTAAATAAGTTGGATATGATGTTCCAAAGATCGGATGGTTTCTATTAATCTTAGAAACTCTTTTTTTCCTTTTGCTTTTGATTATTAGAAACTCGTTTTTCCTAAAACCTCCTTTGCAATACAATTCGGGCTCTTTTTTTCTTTACTTTCTTTTCGATAGTTAGAAACTCATTATCTTTGACCGGACCCGAGTAAGACCTAAACCTAGGTCTGGGATTGTCCAATTTTGCCAGGCCTGCACCCGAACACTTGCAAGCATCTAACGAGTTGGCCAATGATAAAATTAATATCACAATTAAAGGGGGAAAATAAGAGGGATTATGTACTATAGGGCTATTTACTTCTAGTTGCTCCCTATGTACACCCGATGGCTAGGGTGATGTGAAAAACACTAACTATATTTCTGTGAATCCATTTCCACAGTCCATATGGTCATACCATCATCATGACCATGATGTTATCGCTTCTGGCCAGGCTGGCCGTGAGTTTATCACCGTCCAATAAATGTGGTAGGTGGTGATGGGGCGATTGGGTCCCACCCGATAGTGTCATTACTCCTTTTCTCTCTCCCAGTGCTCCTTCCGTCAATATCCAACAAATACCGATACACTGTTTGGACAATGATAATCCATATGACCAGAAGGATTGTATAATGGACACGGTTTCTAAGAATCCATCTAGAAATAAGTTAGCCTCTTAAAAATCTTCTTTTGAGATGGATTTTTGGACTTAATTTTTAAGGGTATGTAATCTCTAACATGGAGACCATGAATATGAAAAGATAAATAAATTTTAAAAAATTACAATTAATAATTCTATTAAGAAAACATTTGGACCGTTAGTTTCAATTGTTTTTTGATGAACCACCTATATTTTTTATTTTTTTTTAAGATAGATGCTTTGTACCATGAGACTGCATATTGTAGAAATGCAGTCCAACCCGCATGAAACAATTTTCTTTTTTGAAAAGTGATTTGCAGTAGATATATCTCTGTCCATTGTGATGCAAATGTTTACAACTTCAATTCTTAAAAATATGTACTAATCTCTCGTAAGAAAATCATATTCTTTCTTATTTCTTCCACCCTCAATGAAAGGGCAATAGGGGTACAGATGGAAAAGTAAATTTATGAAATTAAAGTACATGGTTATGTGCTCCACACATTTAACTGCGTAAAGGAAAATGATTTGATAGGATTGCAGCTTTATCAAAATAAGTAAAGCCTCATTTTATAATTTATCAAAAATTATAATTCAAGTATTGGAAAACCTTTAGATCGATAATCCCGGCTTGAACATTATAGTTGTGAAAAAAAAAAAAAGATTTGAAGCTCTAAAAATAGTATATATTGTAACAAATTATCTAGACCGTCATTTCACCTTAAAAACAGTTGTTCATAGATTCATAAGATCTGTATCAATTTTTTAGTTTCAAATTTTTTTGTCAGTGTTGGAAATGGATTTTAGAGCCATCATGGAAATTTCTATTGCCAAAAATGCTTTCCAGACAAGGATTTGAGGTGAGGCTTTATTTCGTTTTCATAACGTCTAGGCGTTATGGAAACTTCATCTTTATGTAAAAAATGGATTTTGCAATTGAGAATGGGATCGAGGTTGTGGTGCTAGCACCATCTGAACCACAACTACCGGTTTATGTTTCTATTCCCACTAATGCATTCGAAAACCACTAACTATTTCTGGAAAATGGATAGGGATTGTATTCCTCACTAATCTACCCAAAAAACAATAATAATATTACGTGTCGCAAATTTCTTTTGAACTTTAAGCTTGGTCAATAGAATAAATGCAGCCACCCAATTTCACATCCAATGGGCAAGATTAATTGCAACCACTTTGTACTAAAGGTAAATGGTCTTATTGTATACT